TTGCGGCCCGAAGCGCAGGTGAAATGGGCTAGATTTTTTTTAAATGCTGTGCTGGGCTGTGACGTCATATTTCAATATTTTCGTTGGCGTCAAAACACTTACCTACCTACTTTTATATTAGTTTTTAGTATAATCATTTTAACTTTTAATATTTTGAAAAAGGACGACAATGACGATAAAACAGCTTAAAAAATCATTTGAATAGTGATGATTAGACCTGTTTCACCCAATTTCACAGGTAATTCTTTGCAGTAAACACTTTATGGTGTTTTGACCGTTTCAAAAGTTGCACCTCAGCCCGGCGCGCCGTGTGGGCCCGCCCGGTGTAAAATTAACCTACAGATCAAAGGCGCCGCCGCCGCCCCGGCCCCTTTGATCTCACCGCCCATTGTCTACCACGTGTTGTTTTAATACTTTCGTGTTGTCATGTTAAAAGTTTATTATAGGATGCGTTTTTAACATGTCCAAGCGAATTACCGGTTTAATTCTTTAGTTTAAATATCAATTTCGTTTGTGGCGCGTGAGTGTCAGTTGTTTTAGCTCTTTTGAAGTTTATGTTGTCGATTGAAGTTTCAATCTTTTTGCTTTTAGCTTAGGGATGGTATTAATAACACTTCTAAGTTTCTAAGCGTCCCGTCTTGTCTTTTGGATTATTTTTTGTACAATTTAATAGCGGAAGAGAGTTAAAGGGTTCACAGGCATTGAAACACGAGAGGGTGTCATCGTATTGGATTTTATTATGCAATAACTTTGAGAATAGATTTTTTATTGCTGCGACAGTTAGTGCAGTAGCTGGGCTGGCTAGGGATAGGGATGGAAAATAAAAACGGACGGTTGTAATTCATTTCAAGGAGTTAATGGTTATATTTCTGAGGTGCAACATCACATCACACCACATCACCCCATAGCTGTCCACTGCTGGACATAGGCCTCCCTCAGGGCACACCACAAGGCACGATCTCCCGTTTTTGTCATCCAGTTTCTACCTACCTACCTACATGTCGCTCTCTTTAATTAATTTTTCAGTCCATCTGGCCGGATGGCGTCCAACGCTACGCTTGCCGAGCCATGGCCTAGAACCTGCTTACCTACTCCACCGTCCATCAGTCCTACGACAAATGTGACCCACTGCCACTTCAGCTTGCTACACTTCCAGACGCAACATTTTGACAAAAAATCCCACCCAAACTCGTTTATTAGTAGTCGAACCGACACTTGTCACATTTTTCTTTATACTTTCACAACATTATAGATATTCCCATTAACAATTCCTTCCGAAACACTTTACGGCCGTTCATAAATGTATAAAACCGAATTCAACATACATTGCTTGCATTACCGTTGCCCCGTCCCGAGTGGTGGCGGCTTAGAATAGCATCATTCCCGTGGGTGACGTTTTTTTCTTCTTTGAGTGGGACACTAATACCTCCAACGACCCTATGGACCCGTGGTGTCAGAGTTTTTCCACCTCCTACTGCAAGTAGCTAGCCTCTGACATGATTCATTCATAGGGCCCGACTCATAGGCAGCAACCGGGACCGACGGCTTAACATGTAAAGTGTGTGTTGTGAGAAGCGACTATGGGATTTAAAAGTCGATGTGTATTGCTAAGATTGTGCGGAGTTTTTCAACACGCAATGAACGTAAAACTTAATTCTACTCGTAGCGTTTACAACCTTGACGAATTTCACACACCTCTGAGTTTTCAACAAATTTTGTAAGAAAAGAGTTATTTAGCATCACAATAACAACACATTTTGGAAACTTTTAAAAGCTTTTATCAACTGTATTCTGTTTGAAAAGATTTGGTATTTTTTAATTTGAGTAGGGACTTTTAATTAGTGAAAAAAAATATTGTTATTCGGCCGAATGTTCGGTATAAAGTTTGCCGATCCGAATATTGTGCTCGACACACGATATTCCCGAAACGACCCTCAACAATTTGGCGAACGCGGCGATAACAATGGTATATCATGAACATGAATCATGACAGTTAAGGCTCTGCCTTCCCCGCAAGAGGATAAGGTGTGATGTGTGTATGTGTAAAAAAAATATTTCTTTAGCTCCCCGTTTTCTTTTGCAATTACTATCTCTGCCCAATGATTGACCTACCATACCAACCAACACCTATTTTGTAACAACTTACAAAAAGCACGCGTAAAGGCCAATATATCAAGTCATTCTGTAAGAGTAAATATAAGAAAGCTATAGAGTGCGCATATATCGCCCCGCGCCGCCGTTCTGTCAAAACGCAAGCATTTGCTCCCTACACACAAAGACAAACGTCAAATGTTATGAGTAGTAAGTAATAGAGGTTCAATAGTGTTGTTACTGGCGTGTTGCTACTGATAGACAGACAGTTGTGTTCTGACTGCAGCCAACCGTTCTAACTTTTTAGGCGCACTCTATAGCTTGCTTATATTATAAACTCTAAGGGTGCTACATTCGGCAGTGGCGCCCCGCCGGGCGAGTAGGTGTTAATGCGGCCCCCTGGTGCGCGCGCGCAGCGAGACAAGGGGTCGACAGCGCAAGGCCGGCTTTTAGGGAAACTGTGGTAAGAAAGTGCTAATTAAAATGGAGATGTAAGCTTGGTTGAACTGTTGATTGGCCAAAAATGTTTATGCTATACTGTTGTAGATTTTACATACATAACAGATTTTTGGACCAACAAGTTTTTATTTAAACCGCAAAACTGAGACTCAAATAGGTAGGTAGGTACCTACTATGACAACTTGCGCGTGCGCAGAATATCTTTAAATCATTTTCTCCTTCAATCTTGCTAATCAATGGTGAAAACACTTCATTGGCGCTGGTTACTAGTTAGTAGGTACTCTGGCGTATAAGATAAGCCAATGAAGTCAATATAAAATTCTACGATATCCCAACCCGAAAAACCAGCTTCTAAATCATGTTAAAGCATGGGATACATCATGTTTTGTGATTCAAATGTCGTCAGCAGGCGCCTCAGCACCACCTACTGTCACCACTATGTGGACGACATCGTGAATGTAGGTATGTGGATGACATTCTGAATATTCATGCACGGAAGCCTGTTTGAGAGAATAAGAAACATGTTGTTTCGTGTTGAAACGGGCAGTAGGTGTAGATCAGTCGATCATCATTGTAATGGGCAACTCTTTTTATTTACCTACCTATGAAGTCGAAGATAAGTAAGCGGGCTTAGGTTAATAGGCTCCTACTTTAAATTACTTTAACATCTTGTGGTGAAAATAGTAGATACGTAAAAGGACAGCAAATCGAATGCTTACGAACTAAAAATTTAGTTTTCTCTCATACCTATTCCCCATTTCTTCGCAACATCGAACCATAGGTAGGTACATCTTTCTGACAGACATTTCACCTAGCTAGATAATTAGAATTACGAATTATGACATGTTTAAGTGTTGACTTTAACTCAAAAGCGTGACGTGAGGTTTCAGGGTCACCTACAGATGTTCAAGGGTGGACAGGGATGGAAGTTTGGGGGTAAGATGTGGGGAGGGGAAGACCACAATTACAGTTGGCTTGGAGCACATTCGCGACGCGCTCACAATTAAACGAATTTGCCATCTGCGAGCAAAAACATGCCTGCATTGTAGCTGTATGGTGACCATCGCTTCATTTCGAGTGGGATAACGACTCTCTTCCTTTCGTGTCCTAACGAGACGATAAAGGTGACAATGTGGTAGGTATACCTACTAAGTTTAACTCTCATAGTTTGCTTTTGATGCTGGCTGACCTTCTAACTTCAATTTTGAAGATAGCACTCCATGATGATAAGGAGATCAGATGCTGCTGCCACAAATCAACAATATTTCTTTTTCGTGGTAACATCCTTTTTGCCATGTGATGCCGGCTTAGAATAGCAGCGCCCTAATTCTATCCGTGGATGTCGTGAAAAGCGACCAAGGGTTAGTTATCCAGGGAATCGGCAGCAGCATTCCTTGTGAATAAAACATGTTGCACTGCGCTCGCCAATCCGCCTACCAAGCGTGGTGAGTATGGCAATCATCAGACCTTTAAGGACCTATGTGTAAAACTTATCACAGTTTTGGCTTTGGTTTTGGTCAACCATAACGAAATCCTGTAAAAAAGCGTTAATACAAGCTTCATTTCACTGCTATCCAGGTAGGAACTTATGTGTATTTTCGTGTATCTGTGTCTTCTTCACCAGCTACAACAGTCATCGCTGGGCATGAGCCTGTATAGCCTCTAAATCCCGAAGAACTGGTCGCCCGATAATGCGAGTATAATTTAAGCGGAATGCTGGCGGCGGCAAAGCGGTCAGCAAAAACTATGACGATCCGCCGCGCCGTGCCGACCGTGCCGCGCCGGAGAGGTGATCCACTGTGCTCCAAAACATTCTACCTACTATTGTTTGTTACTCTAATAGATCCAACCATGCGTCGTAGACGCCGTTCTTTCTTCTCCTTTTCTCTTCTTCTTCGAGTGGGACACCAAGTCATCCGCCGTTCCTGATAGGTATACCACGTCAGATACAGATGATGCAACCACCGTAGTCGCTGCTGCAGCTGCGAGTAGATCACACTCCACAAGCTTTCCAAGAAAGCGGAGACGCCTGCCGGTTGTTTTTGCTCTTGACAAGACATGTACCGGGAAGATTCAGCCGACCGATCCGTTCTACCCAGAACAACTGTAAATCCCAGTCTCAGTGAATGGACTAGTAACTGGTTCTCCATACAGTTATTTAATTAAGGATAACCAGAATAGGTTAACGAATGCGTAGATGTGCTGCTCCTTTTCTTCTTCTTCAAGTGAACCCTGGTGTCAGAGTTTTTCCATCGCATACTGCAAGTAGCAGGCTGCTGACATGGTTGTTTAATGACCGCCGTGATCATAGACAGCAACTGGGATCGACGGCATAACGTGTCCTTTGAAGAACGAAACCATCTTGCTTTTCGGACAATCAGGTGGTTCAGCCTGCCTGACAAGACTGGGAACAACTTCGCAAAGTGATTAATAAATATCATCTTTGCGAGTGACCCCACCGGGAATTGAACCCGGAACCTTCTGCTTCGCAGGCAGTCGTATCTACTAACAACTGCGCCTCATGAGCTGCCAATGTGTGTGATGTGACGATGCTGATAGTAACAGATTGGAGAGCGCAGTAGAGTCCCCCGCGCTATGCCATCCATGCAGCGCTGAACCGGCGCGCGCGCACAAAAACCCGGGACACGTCCACCCGAACGGAACAGCGCAATTCCACATTTCGGACAAAAACACACAGCAATTAATGGTGAGAAAGTGCTATCCTTGGAGGAACATAATACGTTGGAAATTAGCTACTTTGCTGTGTGATGCCGCCGGCTTAGGCCCTAGCTCGACATATTAAACGTGAGACGCAACGCGCTACATGACATATGTCAGACAAGCGATCGTCAGCCGTTGTCGATGGGACGCGCGTCTGATATGTATAGCTTTTCTCTTCTATTTCATACATTTTATATGTAAACGGGTTTAAGCGTCGCGGTGTCGCACGTCTCACGTCTTCTCTGTAGAGCATGGGGTCAGAATATCATTTCTTTCCCGCAGGTATATAAGAGGCGACTAAAAGGACTTGAGGGACTACATTCGTTCAAATATGATTTTGTCATATTATTATGTGGCGATATCGACCGTATTTTTACGACAGTTATCGCTCTGCCTAGCCTACCCCGCAATGGATAATGGCGTGATATGCGTGTGTGTGTATGTATGTAAATGAAATGCAAATAAAATTATATTAAAATGCTTTCGCAGGTCCTCACCAACATCGGAACACAAGAATGGCGCCAGCCAATACTTTGTGACAAGAGCGCAAGCACTTTTTACATACGAAAGACATAAACGCGATCTATATTTTATTAAAGTGAAAACAAACAAATTATCTGATTGAAATGAAATAATATAAAATTAAACTTATCTGTAAATGTACTTACAAATATCACGGCTACATTACTTACGAGGTAGGCAGAGCGTAAACAGGTGTAAAATTGGTATACCTACGTAAAATAAACATTATGTACCTAGGTTTACAAAATGTCAAACTCGTTGTCACATAATTATCATAATTAAATAATAACTAATTTTTAATTGCCGTATTAATTACACAAAACAAAAAGTGTAACAGTATGTGAAAGGGTTACAAAAGTATTTATTAGTCCCTTAATAAGTAAAGGTTTCTAGTTAAAATGCCTGATGTGACAAAATAGGACAATTGCACAAAAAACTGTATATCAATAGCAATAATTAAGCTTTGGCGGGTTGACAATTAAGAATCGAGCTATTTTAAATTCACAGCTGGGGTTTTCAAAGCTACAATTCTGATGGGACATTTTCTTAGGTAATTTTTAGTGATTCTTATCTCATTTTTCAGCTATTAAAAAAAAGAGTTAAAAGATTCCGTTTAATCCATAATACTACCGTTCTATCATTTTTTAGATTGAGGGGGGGAAGGGCAATTTTCGGCTTATGTTCGGTATTCAACATGTTCAGCAGATTTACCGAATTTGTATTCGGTTTCGGTCGAATCTTTGGCCAATTTGCCGAATATTTGGCCGAATAAAAATGTATTCTTTTTGTGTAGTACTTATATATGTTAAAAGTCGATATGTCCAGACAATAATAAATAAGTGATGCAGTTCTTTTTATTTAGAATTAACGCTTTAAGGACATCAATTCCTGTCGAACTCCTTGACCGAATATTCGGTGTGGCAATATTCGGTGAAACCTTTTTCGGCCTATCACTATTTTTGACGTTTGATTCAATGCGGCGGCACAAACTGGAGAGCCTATAAAGATGGTAAATGGTGATAAATGGGTTATATTCGAATTTGGCTTCCTTTTCTGCTTAGAAAATAATAAGATTAGTGAAGAATAAGCTAAGGATGTGTCGTATTAGAATCGAGGCCAGATTCCTCGTTTTAAAGCTCATTTTCGCGCAAAAACATACCCTGACTCCGTATTTTGCAGCAGACCGATAATTAACGATGTTTTTAATTACACAGTCGGACTTTTGCCGTATCATTAATATCGATATATCGGGAAAGGGTGTACATTTTAATTCAGACTTGGTATTATGACATACCTAGTACTATTATATATTCTGTGACATGGCGTCAATAAAATGATAATAGGTAGTTTTCTCTTAGTATTCCTACAATGTCTGAGACCTTATACGCTATCTTCGCTTGATCTAGCCGCTTCTGTGCTGCGCATATAAATTACAATTTGCCAGCTGGTGTATTTGTTGAGAAAATAAATACCTAGCTGTGTTCAGTTTGTCAAATGATTATGTTATGATTATGACCAGCTGGATTTTCCTAAGTATAGGATTCTTTGAACAACTAACTACCTATTTTTTTCATATGGGTATGGAAGAGGCCCATATGCTAATGGTTACTCCTGACCTCTCTTTCCTTTTTAGGCCCTCACAAAGTTGACTAACAATCTGGCTCAAAAAGGTACCTACTTTTGGCAGCTATATTAAGATGTCAAACCAGGCTAGCAGCACAGCGAAAAAATGGGTTCGCTTGCTCTAGCAGCCCTCATCTTCTTTTCACATCAAGGACGCATCCTTCCTTACTACTGACTTTCCCGTCAACTTTCCGTTTGACTGTCCCGTTGGCGTAGTGGATAGTACCCCCTGCCTTCTACGCCGAGGTTGGTGGGTTCGATTCCCACCGACATAAATATTTGTAAAGTCAATTTTCAAATATTTGTGTTTAGTCTGGGTGTTTTCTATGTATAATATGTATTTATTTACAAAAAAAAGTATGTACCTATGTATTATATTATATCAGTTGTCTAGTTCCCATAGTACAAGCTTTGCTTAGTTTGGAGCTAGATGGCGCTGTGTGTCTCGTCCAGGGATATTTATTTATTTATTTACTTATATTTACTGGCCTTGACAAAACGATGACCAATTAAATGAGCGAGCATAACTAACCAAATACCAAGCAAATTGCAATTTTGTATGCGCAGGCAATCATCAAAATATGCTCTCGTATGATTTTATTGTCAAGAACAAAGGAGTGGAGGTGTTTTTATCACATGAAGTGGTAGATGGGGGCACAGATGATGACTCCACCTTTTAAAAGATGTTCGCTACCTATCTAACTATAACACTACTCGCATTTTATATTACCTAAACATACCACAATGTCCTATAGCCAAACCTCTCCTTCTTCTTCGAGTGGGACACCAAGTCGTCTAGCGACCCAATGAACCCTGGTGTCAGAGTTTTTCATCCGCCTACTGCAAGTAGCAGTCCTCTAGGACAGGGGTATTTGGTTGATAGTGCCAGCTTGCACCATCCAGTTGATTTCGGAGGATCAATACACAGCAACTGAAAATCCTGAAAATGCAAAGTGCTGTCGTTAAGTACGTCGATGACAAAAAGAAAAAGATGTATCCAGAAAAGAAGTTTTCGCATCAAAGAGGTAGCCATTCAGTCTAGGCTTTTATAAAACAATATCTTTGAGCAATCCGTCGGTATTAGCATTTGGCATGGCATCAATCGCCGCACTATCTGCCCGTTTCATTACGATTCCCCGCCCGGAGTGCTCGCCGTATGGTCCAAGCTTAGGTATCAAAGCGACCAGGAGAGTGTTGGTGAGAAATCTGTTTATGAGGAAGAGGAGGCGGAAGAGGAAGCAACAAGCTCAAAGTTGAATGATTCTGATAAGGATGAGGATTTATCCACTGAGGAGGATGCGGATGAGGATGAGGTAGATGTAACAGAAAAATAGAAATCAAAAGATTCAGATCAGATGTCGTACAGTATTTATAAAGGCAAAACTTACAAAATAATGAAAGATGAGAATCCCTAAAAATTGCGGGACTTTCGCGTTATGAGGATACAGAAGAGGAATCCTCATCAACACTAGCGGTGACAATTTAGAATAGTATTACCACATTAAAGCTGATATCGTGAATGCTATGGGCTGTGTCCTGAGTATGCAATCTTGTACTTTGCTTGTGAATCAGCTAATGCCAAGCGTTGTAAGTAAGATATGCATATGGCAAATACTTCCCAAAAGAGAGAGACATGTTTAGGAGTGGACTTTTGTGTCTGACTGACTGTAGGAGCACTGTCAGAAAGGATGAACCTAACCTGACCTAACCAAAAACCGATATAAGTATCAGATTTATTTCCTGGAGAAATATTTTTTTAAGAATTTCTTTGCAAGGAAGAGAAGCACATATTTCCTGGAAAGGGAAGTAAGGTCATTAATGATCTTGGCGTAGCAAATTGACCGCATATAACTAACACCTCTGTGTTAAAGGTTAAGGCTGTAAACCACCAGGTAGTTTTTACTCATAGCCATCTGCGTTATTATAAAAAAATACCATTCTTCTTAAACCACACCACGGTCCACGCAACCGTCCTTAATTAGGCATTCCTCCAGCGTCGGCGCCCGCGCAGGCGGCGTCTTTGTGCGCTGTCTCCCTCTCACAATGCAGCCATTGAAAATACCGACCAGCCACGGCAGACCCCCGAACGTCTTTCAATATCAAACGATGGTGGTAGATTGAACGGTCAGAGATGGAATGGTCGACATTACTTGGAGTTGTTGTGGTGAGCGCGGATTGAGGTTTGGCTGGGGTTCTGTAGAGTCGTTTAGAACTATGAAGAATTCTGTTGCTGCTACAGCAGCTGCTCTGGCCTGGCTGGCTTGAATTTTTTTCTTTTCAGGGACCATAACGCCTATTATGTGGCATTGTAAAAATGGCTGTTTAAAAAGAGTTGTCAAATTCGTCAAATCTAGTCCAATCCCCCGACGAAAAGATGTCACACAGCGTCATGACAAGACAAATTATTTTCGTAATAAATGTAGTAGAAAACTTTAATTACAGCTCGCTGCGAAATAAAAGTAAATTGATCAAACTTTATTTGAAAAATAACTGACATAATGTGGCTGAAAAAAGTTGAATTTGGTACACCAATGTAGAGTTTTCTGAGGTAAAATGTTAATTCATTTTAATTCTCTTATAGATAAACCCTATTACCACTGAACCCTGTAAATGCCTTTTCAGACTTCAGACTCTACATCCCTACAAATAAAGA